AGCAGTTTTGCACAAACTTTTATTTACCTAAAGTTAAGCAATTTACTCAGTATTTGCGCAGTTATACGTGAAAAAATACTTAGCAAAACTGCCTGAATTTTTTTTCTCGTAAAGCTGACCAATTACTGAGTTACAGCAATTGGTTTTTTTAATCATATGGCCTAATCTATATGATTGAATCTTTTTAAAATCTTCTAAAACAAAAAGAATAACACGTGTCAAAAATAATTTTTTTTTCGTGAAATTAACTATTTCTATTTACCATGAATACCAGTTAAAATATTAATGGTTTCACCGTTATGGAAACGTAGAATTATATTATAATAACTTTCCGTATGGATTGCAAAACCACTGATAAAAGCATGCGACATTCAAATTTGACTTTGAAACCTTAAAACTGCCCGTAATATACACACGTTTTTGATTTACGCCTGAATCGTGACAAACACGTGTCTATACAGGTTTTAATTTCGAAAAAAAAAAATATGTACTGGTCGGGTAATCGTATATAATCTTTCAATGCGTATATAATCTTTTATTGCGTTATATCATATGTAATCAATTTAAAAAAGATGGCAAGAAAAGCCGGTCAATAGGTTGTAGGCATTGGGTCATGAAAAATTAGAAAAATTAAATCTTATTTAATTTAAATAGTGCTTTAGAATAGACTTGTATTTTCTTTTTAAACGTTAAATTGCATTGTTACAAGTTGTTTGCTGTTTATCAGTTGTCCCGGAATCATGTAATTAATTTTTTACTACCTAACAGACTAGCTAGAGCTGCAAAATTTTCAAGTCATTTACGTAATCCCAATGATCATGCTTGTTTAATTTGTTTTCTGGGCAAGATGACCGTACCCTATTTTTTTTTTCTCTTATATTTTGTTTTTCTTTAAAGTTGGGGTTTATAACTTTTTAGAAAGAAGGACTTTTCCCAAAATAACTTTGAAAAGAATTTTCTTTTATTTTATTTGTTTTAGTATTTATTTTTTTGTCGGGAGGAAATAGGTTAGTGGCTCTTACCGTAAAGGATGCGGGCATATATGTAGCTATGTTGCTGCTTTTCGCTTCTCTTACTCATAGTGGTCGTTGTTGACAACCACTCTAATCGAAATAAAAAATAATTTTTTTGTTGATGTTTATTTATTAATAGCTAATGATAAAACTGATGTCGGGAATAAAGTAATTTCGGTTAGTCTATTCAAGACAACAATCATTTAAGTTAGTCATTCCAAGGCAAGAACATTAAACCAGACAGTCTTTTAAAACAAATAAAAAAATAAATTTTCACACTTTTAAATAACTGATGCAAATAACATCTAGATTATTAAAAGAAAAACTAGAGTTAAAAAAGTAAAAATAAAAAGGAATGACTTTTTATATCCACAACAGCCGCTTGTTTTATAACCACAACAGCAGCTTGTTTTATATCCACAACAGCCGCTTATTTTATATCCACAAAAGCCGCTTGTTTTATATCAACAGCCGCTTGTTTTAATTTATTTAAAGTAGCGAATTTAGAAGGTGGTTTAAGAAATACAATTTTTATTTTAAAGTTTTATGGTCGATTGTAAAGAAAAATGTTTTATATGATGAAACAACGTAAAGTTTATATTTTTTTTGGCGCAGAGACGTCAAATCTCGTTCTGAGTCTGACTCAGAACCCAGAGGTCCGAATTTCAACGTCAGATCTAGCGCAACAAGCGACATTGAAACGGAAGGAGATGTGAATTTCTTGTTAAATGATCTCCTGCGTTGCTCAGTGATCAGACCTTAAGGATATCTGGGAGCACAAGTAAGTATACAAAAAAAATTACTTTTTTACTTTATCTTTTTAAAAATTTAAAGTAAAAAAATTAACAAAAATATTTAAAGAACCAGCAATATTTAAAGAACCAGATTGAAATCATAGAGTTGATAACCGGAAAGTTTCTACATTTCCGAAAAATAAAACTCTTTAGGAAGAATATTGAGAATCAGGAATTTCTTTTTTTCTTACCGAATTTTACAAATCAGAAAAAAATTTTACAAAACAAAAAAAACCGTCGATGTTCATTTCGCAAATGTTACTTACGAAATGTAGTAATTCGCAAATTGAATTAAAAAAAATAAAACTATTTTGCTACATACGAAAGTAGCGCTTGTGCTATATATATATGTATATATATATATATATATATATATATATATATATATATATATATATTATGTATATATATATATATAGTATATATATATATATAATATATATATATATATATATATACATATATTACATATACTATATATATATATATATATAAATACATACTATATATATATATATATATATATATATATATATATATATATATATATATATATATATATATATATATATATATATATATATACATATATATACATATATATATATTTATATAAATACATATATATATATATATATATATATATATATATATATATATATATATATATATATACATATATATACATATATATATATTTATATAAATACATATATATATATAATATATATATATATATATATATATATATATATATATATATATATATATATATATATATATAATATATATATATATATATATATATATATATATATATATATATATATATATATATATATATATATATATAAATACATATATATTTATATATATATATATATATATACATATTTATATATTTATATATATACATATATATATATATATATATATATATATATATATATATATATATATATATATATATATATATATATATATATATATATATATATATATATATATATATATAAATACATATATATTTATATATATATTTATATACATATATATACATATATATAGATTTATATATATACATATACATATATATATATATATATATATATATATATATATATATATATATATATATATATATATATATATATATATATATATATATATATATATATATATATATATAAACTTCTAATTATATCTTAAGATCTAAAAACAAGATTTAATAAAAAACAAATAAACAATGCAACCACGAGTTTTAATATAGATGAAAGTTAACTTTTAAAGTAGTTTGTAAATTTTGCTAAATAATTATATCAAAAAAATTATACTTTGACATATATTGTTTTTTAAATTTTTCATAACATTTTCTTTTTTTAATTTTAAACTAATCTATTTGTATAGTTTAAATTATAAAAAGACTTTAAATGCAGGAAGATTTTGTTAAAAAACGTTTAATTATTATTTTGAAGGTTTAGTAGTCGCAAATTTTGTCTACATAACACTTATGCTAATTCATGCATATTTTTTAATTGAATAACTTAGTTTTAGCATTCAATAGAAATACACAAAACTAAAAAAATTATTTTTAATAACAAAAAGCGTAAACCAATGTTTACTAAAAATACTTTCAAAAATTTTTTAATACTCGTAAGTTTAATTTAAGTTTTTAAATTGAACTCAAATTTCATTAGAGTTTCGTGGGTTTTGCATTTTTGTGTTTTGAAGTGGTGATAATATGAAATTTACAATCCTCCTGGCGTTAACTGGAAGGAAAACCAACTCCAATCCTCTTGGAATTAACTGAATGGTGCCAAGAAAATTACAAAAGCTTGACTTTGAAAATAAAAAAAGGTTTTAAAACACCACTAGATGAATCCTTAAAGTATATATAATGCATTAATTCAATTTAAATTTAATTATAAATATTCTAAAACAATATTTTAATGACATATACAAATAGTTTTAGTCCAGTTTAAAGTAAATACTTTACAGTAACTTTGCAATAAAGATGACATTATTGTTAGTACTATGAATAATTACAAATATAGTATTAACAATAACAAGAAATTGTATAAATAACAATAAAATAGAGATAAAAATTTTTATTTAAAAATTAATAAATACGAAAATAATAAGATAGTGTATATAGAGTGAGGTATAATAAGAGAGTAGAAATATTAATAATAATAATTACAAATAAAAACAATAAATTACGAGTTTTACATATAAGGTTTTTAGAAATAACACTTTTTTGAAAAATAGCGAGATAAAAACTGTTTTAATTTAGTAATTAGCTTAATCTTTTTTATTCGAAAAAGAAGACTGTTTCAAGGTTTTAGATTTTCTTATTTGATAGATTTTAGACCATATTTTAGAGATCAATGATTTGGTACATGAAAATTTTAACTATTAGAATAATAAATTTAAAGACGATAGCTTTCTCATATTAAATAAACTTCTAAATGTGCTGGATTATTATTCTTGTTTATGGTGAAAGACAAATGACAGTTAACAGCTGAGATAGATCATTGATTTTGAGCATTTTAGATTGAAGGTAAATGTGATCAGGATTGACTAAAATAAATTATTTTTTAAGTCTTGTTTTGTATGTTGGATAATCTTAAAAACTCTTGTGAGCGGGTGTGTACCCAAACCTAAAATATATATTTAGTTTGAGTTCAAAGATTAATAAAATGCAATAAAATTCAAGTTTAACAAAGTGACAAGCTTCAGCTAACATCCATTTAATTTACATAGTTTTATTTCTAAATCTTTATGGTGATGTAAAAACGAAAATCATTAAATTTTTTTTCTGTTTATTCAGATAAAGTAAATAGTGAATTTCAAAAGGTTTGTTAAACTCCCTTAATAAATAGTAATTAAAAAAAAATATTATTTACGTCTTAAATGTCAAAAAATGTTAGCAAAAAGAATGATTCTACCTTACCAAATTTATAGAAAAATAGTATGATATTGTTGTTACAAATTTTCGTAGCTGGCAGAGAACGTCAGCTGGACGTTTTAAAGGCGTCCATCGGACTTGTAATATCCATAAGACTTCGTATAGAGGTCAAGGAGACGTCTATGACCGCTCGATTAGTTAAAATAAATAAAGGAAGTTCTTCTTCATAATATAAAATAAACTAAAATCAGAATAAAAAATAAATAAAATAATGAAAGATTTTACTTGATTGTCAAAAAAATTAATCTTTTCTTTGCAATATCTACAGGTAACCAAACGATAAATGCAATGATTTTCCATGTGGTCACTTAGTTCTTTACGCAAAAGTGTAGCAGAGCATTGTTCATTGAGGCAATTTACTTCTTGATATTCACAAGAGGTTAAATGGTTCTTAAAAAGAAAAGTTTAAAAATATTTAAATTATTTTTATATTTAAATTATATTCATGTATAATATAATAACGTAAACTGTTGAAGCTTTTTTTTATTTCTGCTTACTTTTTGCTAATGCTAATTACAGTAAATTTATTGCGATCTTTAAGGAGGAGTACAAGAAGCAAACAACAATGTTTAAAGTCTTACTTAAAAGTTGAAATTACACTTGAGCTTATGCAAAGAGCAAGCTTAAAACCAAATGTCGTAACTTTGCGTAACTTTGCGCAAAAAATTTGTGCTGTTTTGCTTTTTGTTTCTAAAATCTGGCCTTAAACATCCCTGATTTTTATAAAATTTCGTTTAGTTTATCTAAAAATTTTATTATAGGATTTTTTTTAACCATTTAAAAAGTATTTTTCAAGGGTGTCTTAATTATGTCTTAAGTTACCCGGGAACTCGGTTAACTTTGCACAGCCTTTTAAAATTTGAAAAAAACCGTTTATGTAAATTTAAACTCCTTTTTTCAAACTGCTTAAAGAAAATTCTAACAAGAGCTTGAAAATGAATTAAAAATAAAATAAACCAGATTTACTATTATTTTGGTTTATAAAAAACTTTTCATGATAAAAGAAACACAACCGTATTTAAAACTGAAAAGCACAATTTTTTTTTTCATGTAGGCAATTAAATTTATTTTAAATAAGATATAAAAGCTTACTAAACAAACTTCAAGAGGCCTAATGAAAGTCTAATAGAGATAATTTGTAAAGTTCTCTAGTTTAGACTATTTCCTGATGTAAAACAAATTTTGTTTTATTCATAAAAATTTTCTAGTGTGAGCGCCGGAAACAACTTTATATAAATTTTGGAAACGTATTGCCTATAGAATTTCTATAGAATTTCTGTTAACTTCTAAAAAAACTCCTATTGAAGCTTTTTTTTTCTAATTTTTTTTTAATAGAAAAAAATTTTTTATAGCAATATCTATAAAAATTAACGGACATTCTGTAGAAATTCCATATAGTTTCTATAGGCCATATGTTTCAAAACCTTATAGAAAATTTTAAAGAGTTTTTTTCCTGGGAGATTAGCATTTTTTAATCATTGGCTTTACATAAGCACTGCTTACCTTGACATTTTTAACTGTCTAGGAAAAAGCTCACATATCATTTGTTTTTTGAGCTTGATTTCACTCTTTTCACAAGTTTTTTTTCAATGCTTCTCAATGATTTTGAGTTAAAACTGTGATTAAAGCATTTTTTCAGATCTTCTTCCGCTTGAACCTTTGGCTTTATGCCCTCTATGTTTTTGTTCTAGTTTTTCTTCTAGGAGCCAATATCAAAACTCTTATTAAATTTGTCTGAATCATTTGTGCCATCACAATTTCCTCTAGGAACAGAAAACTCTTTTTTTTTTGGTTTTTAGTTTTTACAGACTGCAAGAATTTATTTTTTTTCTTGTAAAAAATTCTCAAAGCTGTCTCAAACTCTTTATTGTAGGATTCTTTCTATCTAAATTGTGTAAGTAATTATTAGACATTTACTAGAAGAATACCACACTTTCAAAAACCTGATTTTTTGGGCATTTATTACATTTCCGTATAGCTTTTTAAATTCATTCGAATTTTTTTTTTTTATTTTAAAATTTTGTGAAAAAAAACTTAGAGAATTTGAAATGAAACTATACACAACGGAAAAGCGCAAACAATTGTTGAATTTAATTTTTTAAAAAAAACGGTCAATTTAATAATGTTTAGACCATTGTAAATTGTGTTTATCGCCATTTTTTTAATATGCGTTTTGAACTTTCACACCACGAATAAACTGCCTGGTTGCAAGTCTTTCACAACATGGCACAGTAAGACACCTTCCATGTAACAGAAGACCACGTGCGGATCACAGGAAAGTAAATATCCAACATGTTGCTGATAGACACCTGTACCGAGAGTCTACTTTTTGATGTTTCTAGACAGTCAAGAACGTATACTAGTTGATTTTTCTGGATAGTCCTGAAACATCAACAAAAAGACGTTTGTCGCAATTGGGGCTATCGCAGAGGACCGTTCAGAAAACCAACAAAGGCTTAATTATGCCATTTTATTATAACAAAAGACAGAGAAAAATCGCAATTTTATTAGCAATTTGATAATAAGCGATAAAACCTATTTCCAATGGTTTCGTAAACAAGCAAAATTAAAGGATATGTGCAACGGCGAATACAAGAACAGTTCATCAGCAACAATTACATCACTAAAGTGGACTATTTGGTGGGGTATATCGTTTGAAAGAATCATTAGTTTATACTTTTTTGAAAATGCACATGGCACCTCAGTTACGGTAATGGTGGTGAAAAAGCAATTATGGTTTCAATAAGATAGAGCCACAGCACACAATGCAAGAGATTCAACGGCTCTAAAATTCGACCTCATTGGGGGAAGCATTATATTGCTTAGAAGTGGTTTTAACTACCCTCCACGTTCACCAGGTTTAACAACGCCAGATTGAAAAAAATGTAAGTCATAACACCGAAAATTTTTCAAAAAGTTATTCAAAATACACTAGAAAGAGGACAAATGTGCAAAACCAAAGATGGCTACCACTTGCAAGTAACAGATGGTATAGCAAAACACCAATAATAATTAACTATTAAATAAAAAAGTTATTACACATTTATACCATATGGTTATATATGTATATATATATATATATATATATATATATATATATATATATATATATATATATATATATATATATATATATATATATATGTGTGTGTGTGTGTGTGTGTGTGTGTGTGTGTGTGTGTGTGTGTGTGTGTGTGTGTGTGTGTGTGTGTGAATTATGCAAAAATTATGCATCCAGCTAATTTCTAATTGATGATATATAATTTTGAAGTAACTTCCAAGCTATTTTTGTATTTAAGGAAATTTGTGAAAATCGGTTGGTTTTTCATTTAAAATGAATTTCAAATCTAAAAATGCTTTTATAGATTTATGGGTTAAAGATGAGAAACTGGGTAAATAAGATAAATAGAAAAGAACACAGGTGTCAATTGCATAAACAACTTTATCACAACCCTGAGTTGCATGTTAACCAGTTATTGGGTTACCTCTTATATAGATTTAATACACAGTAATTAGACATAAACAACAGGTAACAAGTAATAAAAGAACTGCTTGACAATGCACTCTTTAAAAACCATATGGAAAACAATAGATACCTTAAACACATTGAATCCATTGAATTATTGCCTTTCCTTACACTAAGTAAGGAACAAATTAGAAAATTAAGATTTGCTTTTGCTTCAAAAGACATCTAAATTCCAACAACCAATGAAATGTTTGAAGAAAGAAAAAAACTGCGCCCTACAATTAATTGATTTTTGGTTAGAAAAAAGTGTTTCTATTTAATACAAAAAACTTGAAACAATGATAGCTGATTCCGTTTTAAACGTAATTAAGATTCTTTTAATCCATTAGATAAACTAGAAGATTGTATACTGTGCAAAACAAAAGCTATTAAATGGACAGAGTTATTGAAGGTTTGTTAGAGTTAGTAAAGTATTTCTGATCATCAGAAGAAACACATATGCTGAAAAACTGTTTAATAAGGATCTAATTATTCCTACTAACACATGAGATTTTTTCTACACAAAAACGACTTAATAAAAAAACCGAAAATCAAATCTGATCAAAAAAGCATATGTATTCCACATCCCTATATAAGTGGGACTAACTTGGTATTTAAACAACTCTATCGGTGTCATATACATTGAAGACTCTGGGTTGAAAAAACAGGACTACTTTGTAAACCAATACGTAATGCAAGAGACAGATTTATTACTAAAATTAAAGTAAACACTGGAATGCAAATAGATAGAATTAGATGCGTTGTAACTTTGGTGAGAAGAGAGGGACATCAACAATAGAGTCATTAGGAAGTAGATTTTTAGAACATAAAAGATTTATGCCAATTGAACAATGCCGAAACATCAATAGAATCGACTTTTTTATTTTATATTTTACGGTTGCATAGTTATGCATTTATATTTTGTAAAACTCTTTTTTGCTTAAAATACTTTTAGTTGCGTTTTCACTTTTTTTGTTTACATACATAAAATACGACTTTTCCATATCGTTATATACATGTGCAAAATTAACAATATATATTGTTAGTTTTGCGTCACCCTGTATATTCAAATTGTATATACAGGGTGGCGATATATATTGTTAGTTTTGCCCTAATTGAATTACAACCCTAATTGTATAAAAATTTACTTCAATTTTGAAAAGTATTGTCTTAATTAATGATAATAAATTAGGATAACTTTGCACGATAGGCAAAACAATCACAATTGTCTTTAATCACCTAAAGACAATATTTTACTAAATATATCTAAATTTTAGTCCCAAAGAATTTCTTTACAAAATTGGTAATTTTTATTCATCTATACTAACAACTGCAATAAAACACAGAATTCTTTAAATTCTATGATGAGCATGTTATGCCGTTTACTAACCTTAGGGTCTAACTCTGATCTGCTTAACAAATAAAAGTTACATGAAATTATTTGCAAATTTCTTATCCAGATATTTAATTAAACAAAAAAATTTAAAAGTTCACAATCAATACAAATATATTATTAAAATGACTTTTAAGAGCTGAGAAAACTGTACTGAAAAACTGACAAACCTAAAAAAAAAATTGCAGGTAAACCCCACATGCACTTTTATTTTTAAACAAAAAATGTTAAAAAGGTCGTAATTGTTTAAAATTAGTATCAGTGCTGATAAAGCACTGCTACATTGCTCCAATATAGTTTAGATGGGCTAATATTAGCCAAAATTCGCAATATTGTGCCAATATTGTGAATGTATTGGCCAACATAGCCAATAAAAAGCTTGTTGCTAAAAAACCAATATTGTTACATAACTTCAAAGTTTATTACTAAACTTAAGTTCGAAAATGTTACTACACTGCGAAGTGTAGATTTAACTTTGTGCGTGGTTTAAACACTCATTTTAATACTCTCAATACATCACATTATTTCAACGTAACTTAAGGTGATGTTAATGTTTAAAAGATGTTTTAAACTTAATCTTTTAGTTTTGTCAGTGGCAAGGGTTTATTAGCTACAAGTATAGATAAAACAATAATATTGTGACAATGTCATGGGTTTATTTATATTTGTAGCTAATAAACCCTTCTTAATTTTAAAATGATTGTAAAATTGAAAACATTTCTGCTAACGTTAGCAAGAAGGCCTTATTGCTAACGTTAGCAAGGCCTAATATATCTTTTTCAATGACAAAGAGTATTCTCATTGTTATTGACGATGACAATGAGTATGTTTTTTATTACTAACAATGTCATTAGTAAAAAAGACTTATATAGTTTTTTTTGACTCCGTCAAATAAAATAAATAATAAGATAAACTTTTTGACTCCAACAAATAAAAAAACCATCGTAACCAAGTAGCACCACTTGATTGTTTTTAATGATGTCTGTCTTCTTATTATCAGGTTTCTGAAGTTTTTCATTAAGTCACAAAGCTTGTGTTTTGAGAGAAAAGCTAATGAGGTGTTTTTAACTAATATATATATATATATATATATATATATATATATATATATATATATATATATATATATATATATATATATATATATATATATATATATATATATATATATATATATATATATATATATATATATATATATATATATATATATATATATATATATATATATATATATATATATTCATGGGTACAATATAAAAAAATTAATATTGACGCAATATCGCACAATGATGCCCTTCTAATTATTGTGCCAATATTGTTCTCAATAATGCGCAAATATTGAGGCTGATATTGGTCCAATGTTGCGCCAATATTGCTTGCTACTAGGGTAGTGTGCTTAATAAAATAAAATTCATTCACATTAAAAAAAAATTTAATTTGTTTTTATCAATTTTTTTATTTTATTTATATTTTGTTAAAACAAGTAATTTTGTGTTAAAAACTTTAGACAACAGGTACAAAAAAATGATGATGAAGACCAGGAAACAACTAACTCTGAATCTAAGGGTGGAATGCAAAAAACTTACTTGAGTCAAGTTCGACTTGAACTTTACTTTGTAACCAATAGCGGCAGAGTATTTTTTGAGGGGAAAACCTATACTCTGTCTCTATTGATTGCAATGTAAAGTTCAAGTAGAGCTTGGCTCAAGTTCGCTTCTTGCATTTCACCCTAAGTTGGATTAACATCAAAATCACCATGTTTAGGAAATTGCAATTAAAAAACCTAGATATTGATTTTTTAAAACCCATATAACTTAATAATGACCGCCTGAGAGAATATTAGTTAAATTGAATAAGATTAGTGAAAATAATTTACAACTCAAAAAAAAAATTATAAATAATTCAAACTTATTTTAGGTCCAATTCCTCAAATATTAATTATTCTAGTATTGAGTAAGAAAAAATAAATAATACTACTTCAATACCCTTCATGGTTTAATATTGTGTCAAATCATACCTGTCTGTACTTAATTGTGTTTTAAAAGCTGGCAGTGTGGATCTTCAAAATGTTCCTATGTCACGATTCTTACACCATGAAAAAAAATTAAACTGCATTAAACAAATAGATGACTTTATAAGGAATGAGCCATCTTCAGGGAAATTTTTTCATTGTTTATTTTGAAAATAAACTAGTAGATAAAACAGTCATAGTTAAGAGTTACATTTTATCTAAACCTTAAAAAAAATTGCCATTAGTGATGATCATCATCAGACCAATAAAAGACTTCTTTTGAACGTTCAAAAGACGTCCATAACGTTTAAAAGGTGTTCAAAAAACATCCAAAACGTGTATATAATGTTTAAAAGACGTCTTTTTTACGTCTGTATCTACTGGGATGATAGTATATTAATTATATATCATAGAAACATGTTTGAAAAACATATTTATCACAACATAGTTACACTAACAAGCAAAAAAACTTAAGGGCCAAAAAGCCAGATCTATGTCAAATTGAAGAAACAATAGCCTAGTATCTGTGAGAAAAATATATAAATAAATCTTTGTAATTTTTTTAAAATTCTTTTTATGTTGTCTCTCTATATACTAAAGATTTAAAAATACAGTATGTGTGTGTTGGTTGAAGGGAATAGAGTCCCGTTCATAACCTATTTGGAGTGGTAAATGAAAAAATAATAAATATGTTCATTAAAATCGAGTATATAATTAAGGCTCCGTTTATTTTTTATAATTTTTAAGGTTTAATGCACTTCAATATACTTAAAAAATAAAATATACGTCAAGAATCAAAGTTTAATCTACCACTTTATCTCACAAATCTAAAAGTAATAATTTTCAAGCATATTGACGTTATAGGATGGGATTAGTTTCTCGGCATGATTATTTTTTAAAGCAGTTTGGATAAAAAAATTTTATGTTATGTATACTATTAAGGTACACAACAATAATTTTTTTGTTTCTAATTCAATAGAATAATGTTTATATTTTTAAAAAAGTCTTTATTTTCTGTAAGTACATGTGTACAATCTAATTTTCCTTTAAGTGTCCGGGGCTACCTGACTTTCCTCTACCATTTCAATGTAAAACAGGTGTGACGTTATAGAGACTTAGAACATTTGGATGGTAACACTTGCATGTATACCTAAAATTTGTTGCTTTCTTTAATATAACGTAGTTTTAATTTAAAAAATATAAAAGTAGAAATTGTTTTTTTTTGTAACAACTTTTAGTAAACTTGTGTATATTAAAATTATAAAGTATAAAATTCTTATATATAATTTAAAAACATAGTTAATTTGCATTAATCAAATCAACGCCATTTAAGTTTTTTAAGTATGACTTTTTCAAAATTAATATTGAAATTTTCAAATTAAGTCTACGCAATTGCTCAAGCTTTTTTTAAACTAGCTTGAAAAAACAGACTTCAAAGTTTTGTTATACTTTAATCAAGTTTGCTTTTTGCATTACACCCCTAGCCCTTTAAATTATTTATTGCATCGATGTACTTTTCTTAGTGTCTCAAAAAGCATACTGTTGATTCAGAAAATCACGATCTTCGTTATTTTATAATTAAACTATTAATTTATGTTTTATAACTTAATTTCAAAATAGTAAAAAATAATGAAAATTTTTGCTGAAATGTTTCTTGTTTGAAAAAACCTAGAATTAAGTATTTTATATTTTACATCAAAATTTGAAAAACATACATTAATTGTTTTTAGTTCGCCGGTCCATTGACAACTTTTTAAAAAGTTATCACATTTAACTTTTAATTGCAGAATAGCTCTTTCAGTAAATTTATCAGGAAAAATCTATATAAGAAAAAAAAAATTATCATTTTTTTTAAGAAGCATACTTTTAATAAAAAAGGGGCTGTCCATTAGTTACGTCAACAATTTTTTGACAATATTTTTCTCCTCCTCCCCCTTGTCAACAACTTGTCAATCTTTCAGCGAAACTCCTATAAACTTTTAATTTAAGCATAATTCTAGTTTAAAAATTCAAAAGGGCCCTTTTTTGTGAATTCTTTAATCTTTTTTTTCCCTTAAGGTGGTACCCCAAGAAATATTGTAAAATCTTATTGGAACTAGAGCACACTTTCATTTTTACAACATAAATATATATTTTAAAACAATTTTAAAAAAATGCAATCAAATTTGAAATTCTTTGCCTCGATTAACACTAAAATACAGAAAATAACCAAAATTTTGTTTAGTAGTTACTCAAAATCTACTAGTCATTTTAGCATGAAGTTTGGAACATTTTTTAATCATGGTAACATAATTCACTTGAGAGAAAAGAAATAAAAACAAATGATGATTTTATTTTAGAAATTATGCATGAAACACTAAAAAGTAAGCGAGCTAAATAACACTAATGTAACAAAATTTCAAGATCTAAAATTAATTGAAAAAAAATCTTTTCTCAAATAAACTTTAATAATATGAAGAACAATCTGTGAAAATTTCAGCACTTTTGCATAACTATTTGATTAGTTATCGTTTCTCAAACTTTGAAAACTAGTGAAAAGTATATTTTGAGATTTTGCGATATAAAAATTAAAATTACTCGAAAAGCATTAAAAAGATATAATTTCTGGAATAAATATAATAAATTTAAAACCTCCAGAATCGTATGAATTTTTTTTAAATTTATTTTAGTATCCTTTTTTAATTCTTTTTTAACTGTATACGTCTCTTTATTGCTTGGAGTATAGATTTTTTTATTGACAATTGTAAGCAGAGCAGCCGAGAGGGGGACAAAGGGGGCATACGTGCACCGGGCGCCAAGATAATAGGGGTGCCGAAAAATATATATATTTTTTCAACTGTCTATACAATGTTTACCTTTTAATTTCAATGTTTTGTGATTTAATATGATGTTTTTAAAGCTAAATTTCATTAAATAAATTAGAAGTTTAATTAATTTACAATAGCGTTATTCATGTTCACGGATTATTATGTTTAGTGCAGTGAGTTTGTTTTGAGAGAGAATTATTTTTGTATATATGCATAATTTGAAAGTGGCGACGTATTACCTTTTGGCATGTTATCACACGAAAGTATTAAAGTGAATATTTCAATGTCGCTCTATGCAATTGCATCACAATTAGCAAATCTGCGTATTTAAAGGTGAAAAGCAAAAAGAAAAAAGAAATAAAAAAGAATTAATTAAAAAATTATTTTAAAGATATAAAAATTACAAAAAGTAAAAGTAAAAGAAGATTAAAATATATAAATAAGTAAATGCTGAATCAAGTTAGATCTGATAAATTTTTATAAATCCTTTGAGACTGTTGTGCTTCTGACCTTTTGATTTAAAGTTCTTCAAGTAGTAGATTAAGTAAGCCGTTTGTTCCAGGAAACTTCACTAACAATAGATGACGAAGTTATTCTAATTCAACAGCTAATAAGCGATCTAGGCCGCATCCGCTCATCATCAAATAGTATTTTGACTGATGCGAGAGCTGTTGCAGGTCCTCTAAGCTTTGAAACTGAATTTTTTGCAAAACGAAATAAGAGAGTGAAACGGTATCACAACTTGAAAATACAGCTTTCTGCTATCAGAGCCCCGAGCATCAATTTGAGTGAAACATCTGTAACGTTTAACGTTGAGTGAAATATCTTTAACGTCTCTTGATTATTTAATTTATCAAATTCAGTCAAGATTTGATATAGCAAAGAGTGTTTGTTAAAGGTTCTCATTCATCTGGCTGAAAAACCAGGAACCAGGTTCTCAAGAGATCAAAGCTCGTCAAAGTCAAAGAAGACGACTTATACAAGAAATTTTGCATCTTAATTGTTTAAGGAGTCTTCGTTTTTTTTTCCAAGAAACTCATTGAACCTTCATAACCAAATACATTCAAAGAGTCTGCAGCCTATTTTTCCAAATATATGCATCTTAGTTCGAACTTTTAATACAATGCTAGCATCTGTTGCAGAGGATGAACAATCCTTTAGTAAACTAAAATTTATAAAGAATTATTGTAGGGCCACTATGGGACAAGAACGTCTTTCGGATCTCATAATGTTTTTAGTAAAAAATGAGTTGGCTAAGACTCTTTCATATGATCATAAAATAATAAATTTTGCCGGTTAAAAAAAAAAAAGAAAAAAGTGTTTTATATAGGCCGTTTTTTGTTTTTTTTATTTTATAAAGAATATCTAATAATGCACTATATATTGTATTTGCCTTGCTTAGTTGTAATTTTTATAGATGCTTTTTTTGAAAATTTTGCCGTATTTATTTTGCTGTAAAATGATTTTAACAGAAAAAAACTACGGGTAAAAAAGTTCATTTTAAAACAGTCATATATATGCATGAATGAATTCGATAAACTTTTTTTAAAATTATGTATGTTTAAAGGGGCGCCTACTAAACGCTATGCCCCGGGCGCCAGAAAAGCTGTGGGCGGCCCTGATCGTAAGTAAGTTTTAAACCCCTGGATGACCAAGGAATTAAAAAAATCATTTTAAAAAAATTTTATGATAAATATTTAAGACGTAAAACGTATAAAAATAAAATAAACTACAAAAACTATAAGAACTTATTTGAAAAAAACAAAAAACACTCTTAAAAAATTCATTATGCAAAGTTGTTGGAAAAAACGGCTACACTAAAAAAACGTGGAATATAATTAAAAAAATAATTGGTAAAAATAAATTTGAAAAAAATAATCTCCCACAAAAGTTTTTAATTGATGGGGAAATGATTTACGATAATAATAAAAATAGCTAAAGAACTCAAATCATTTTTTCTCGAAGTAGGGCCGAACTTGGCGAGTAAAATTCCGTTAAGTACCACAAAGGTTGAATCTTATAATAAATTATGTAGTTCTATTATGGAAGAATCTAATTTAAATCTAAGCAAAATAAGGAATGCTTTCAACAGTCTTAAAAGTAATAAAATTGCCCCAAGGTTCAATCTTAGAGCCATTATTATTTTTATTGTATATAAATGATTTATACTTAGCATCAAATATTTTAAATGTTATATTGTTTGCCATTGACTCCAATCTTTTTTATTCCAACAAAGATATAAAAGCTCTTTTTAATATATCTAATGAAGAACTATTCAAAATAAACGATTGGTTTGCAATCACTAGGCTTTCGTTAAATGTAGAAAAAACTAAATTTATTTTATTTTCTAAACCTAGTAAAGGTGATGATGTTCCGCTAAAATTACCCAATCTCCTAATCAATAAAATATTTATTAAAAGGGAACCAATCGTTAATTTTCTAGGAGTAATAATAGATGAAAGTTTGCCATGGAAACCACATATAAAATATATAAAAAATTAAATATCAAGAAATATTTATATATTATATAAAACTAAACCATATCTTAACACCTCTTCTCTAAAAATAATATACTTTTCATTTATTTATATCATAGTTTTATCTATTACTGCAATATTGTATGGGGTAGTACTAACTATGGTAAGTTGAAAAAACCTTCATAGTAATCAAAAACATGCATGCAGGATTATATTTGGTGCCCACAGAACTTTTCAATGTGAACCTCTTTTAAGGAAGCTCGGTGCCCTTAGTGTCTATAAACTTAATATACACCAAGTTCTACAATTCATGTTTAAAACTAAACAAAACTAAATAAAATATATAAAAAATAAAATATCAAGAAATATTTATATATTATATAGCTCTCTCTTATAGGATAGCTCTCTTATAGAGCTCTCTCCTATTATATTTCAATCTTACTTTAGTAAAATCTCGCACAAGTATCCACTAAATTTTCAATTAATAACTTTATTATTCCAAAAACTAATTCAAAACTAAATTCTTACAAAATCCATTACCGCTGACCACTTCTATAAAATCATTTTTTAAAATTTATCACAAAAAATAATAATGTTCAACACATCTCTTTTTAAAAATTCAGAAAGAATCTAAGAATCTCTTATTACAAAAAGACTTTGTTTTAAAATATCTTTATTAAAAATAATATAAATTATCTAAAAAAATAGTTATTGACACTACTCCTCTTTTGTTGCAATTTTAATCTTATTTAATTTTTTGTTGAAAAACTTTAATACTTTTAAATTATTGTTAACCTTTGATATATTGCGTTATATTTCAACACCAATATTTATATTTTGTTATTAGTTATATTGAAAATAACGTATTTAAAATTCTTGATATGTACTTAGCAACTCTTCATTTTTATATTAACTGACGATTTTTTAATGTAAATTTTATGATGGGGTTTGATAATAAGACAATTTATGTCTTCTGCCTGCTCCAGTTTTCTTATTTATTAACACTATTTATTTCATTGTAAATTTTAATATATGACAAAAATTCTTTAGTTAAAAAAAAAAAAAAAAAAAAAAAAAAAAAAAAAAAAAAAAAATTTGCTTTGCAATGGGTGACGTTGCATAACCAAAAAGACTAAACTCTGATAATCCAGACAAAAAGCCACTCGAACCATCATTAAAATTCAATATAGCAGAATTTACTCCAATTTCCAGTGTTGATCTGTTCACAAAGACTCTTTTGGGACAGCGTTTCCAAATTATTAAACTAATCGCCTCATTTGTATTGTGCGTTTGACCACGAAGACAATATGAAAGCAATTCATCTGCTGATAAATCCTGAAAAATTGGTTTTAAGAAATTAAAAGTTTCTATTGATAACGATATATGGTCTTTGTATGTGGTTGTTCCATAAATCTTATCGTAGTGATTCTTGCACCAACTATTTTCATCATGCGGGAACACTCTATGTTGGTATTCTTGATCATTAAATTTGATGCAGTGAAAAAGTATTGCCCAAACTACTTTTTTCATAGCATATAAACTATCAACATTTTTTCTAATTGCTAAACCATAATAGTTTTGGAGGGAGTTTATTACTGATTCTGTAAGATTACATTTACCTAGCAGACATATCTGTGTCTTTTTATTTATTTTAACCAGGTTCCTGAGGCGAATGCGAAGACGTTTTTGCACATGACCGATGCAATCTAACTATTAAGGAGAGATACTAAACCTTATATGGGTCACTTTGTATGACATCATTGAATGATGAAGTGTCACTATCTCCAAGATACTCTTTGTATATAAAATTATACTTTGCTATGGAGCGCTTAAATATTGAGATAGCACCAGCTGATTCCATTAAGCCCGAAGAGCCTTTATGGTCGATATTGCATATATGGATAACACGCCATTCATCATACTCAGGGCTATTAGTTTTATTTTCCCAAGATTTACAAGCACTAAAATGTTTTGAAAGAATTTCATATTCTATGCACTTTTTACCAATTAATGCTGTCGTGACTCCATTAAGAGACGAATATCCGCGCTTCTGTCACGTGCCATCAATTTTAATACAATGGTAGTAGGGACCTTACAGATCATTTGTTATGCATTCTTGGGCTGCCTTGCTCATACTTTCAGCATTCATATAAGTAGTATATACTAGACCTTTTTTTTTTGTTAAAATTATCAAAAGCATTTTCAGAAATATTATATGCCTTATAATATTTCTGAAGATACTTATTGCAAAAGTTTCAACAGCCCGAAAGCTTAATCCAATCTCGTGGAATGCAACAACTGAACGTATATTCACATCATATGGCTCCCTGCCTACATTTATTTACAGTAGAAATAGATATTTAGCTAAAAAACGGGTTAGTTTTTTCACAGTTTTTAAAATATAACTCAATGCAATCTGAAAACCTAATTCTCATATAATTTTCAGTCATGAGTTGCATAATTTACATACAACTATTTGAAACATTTTATTTAAAATAGTTATATTAATTAAAATGAAGTAGCTTTCAGTATCTTTCATATTTTTTTTTTTTTAAAAAAATTGTTGTTAGAGGGTACTCTGCTTTTGTGGTTGTTGATGTTGTGTTAAATAAAAGTTTGTTTGCCGATCATTTTTACAACGATTAAGAAGGTGCACATTAGTTCTTTTCTTGATAAAACAAAATTCTGCTTATTTCCTTCAGGCATTATGCTTTAAATTTGTACAAACAGTAACTTGCAAAAATTTAATTTGCAAAATTTCAAAATACTAGAAATACTGCTTTAAACAACCTTAGTAACAACTTGAACTAGGAGTTGGAATGATCATTTAACTTATGACCAAAAAAAATAAACAAGATAGGCTATAATATTTTTTAATATTTAAAAGACATAGATTTTTGCAGTTATACATTAAAAATATTTTTGTTTATATATTGATTGCAATGTTGTTGTCATGGACATTTCAAACTACTTGGTTCATACAAACCTAAATTATTATCACTCAAAGTTAAAATTTTTCATTAAAAGAATATGCATTCTGTGAGCAAAAAAGAATAATGAACCAAATTTAAAACTCTTTTTTTTTTTTTTTTTCTTATTTTAAATTGGCTTTTATTTCTTAAGGTACCACCTTAAGGAAAAAAAGATTAAAGGGTTCACAAAAATGTTTACACGTTTAAATTATAATCATGTTTCAAATTATTAAAATTCTCCTCATTTTAATATTAAATCTACTAGAAACTTACATTGAAAGCCAATTATTTTTAATAGAGTTTAGAATAACAAAAAAAGCATTTAATAAACCAGGGCTTCGGCAACCTTTTAAGACAAAAGAGCCAAAAGTTACAATATACAAAGTTTTTCAGTTTTGAAAGACCTACCAACATCTTTATTTTAATATTATATTTAGTGATGCGGAGTCCCGAAAAGGACTCCGGATTAGAATGTCACATAAAGATTACTTCTTCATAGTTTTTGGTATCCAGGAGCTCTAATAATATAAAAATGCTTATAGATTAGTATTGGTAAAAATGTTACGACTTTTAGGTTAGAGGAACAATCTTTTTTTGAATTCGGAGTCCATAGGTATAATGACGGCTAGTACTTTGTGATTCCGGGCTTAAAAACATTATATTTCAAGTCATTTAATTTCATGAGTTTTTTTTATTTACCTGATTATAAATCAACCATTATAACAGAGATTTTAGACACCAGAGACCAGTAAAAAATAGAGATATAAAACCGGAGTCCTTTTGAGACACAGCATCCCTGATAATACTGATATTTGTGCATGTCAAGATAATAGTATTTCAATGAAAAGATGGAGCTAAAGACATCATCTTGACATCGAGTATCACAAAAATAACAAAAAGCTTGCGAGCTACCGGTTGCACCTCTTGTATAAACGTTTAAACAATGTAATGTAGACAATATACTTATATGGTTTTTTTTGAATGCATAGCAGACTGAGACAACAATAACTTTAAAAAAATAATACCGTCACGAGTGAACATTTTGTGTTTAGATATTTAGTTCTTTCAAAGCACAAAACGGTTTTTAAAAATTAGAAGTATAATTTATAAGATTGGAATGAAAATACTGAAGGTTAAGCAACTTTGTAACACAAGACTGAAAAAGCTGTCTAATTTTCATTTTTCTAAATAGTTAAAATTTGAAAAAAAGTAACATGTTCAAAAAAATAAAGTGTTGACGTACACTTTTCTTGACCTTCCCTCTCCCCCTTGTCAACAACTATCAAAAAAGTTTAGATACTCCTTCCCACTATTTTGTTGACGTAATTAATGGACAGCTCAAACTATATAATTTTTATTTAAAATGACTAAATAACTACATTTTGAAAAATAAATTAACCTTCTCAGAATTCAAAATAGTTTTGTCTAATGGACAAATTAAAACTCCATAGTTTCTAAATAAGAAAAATTTTTGTATTTTATTATTAGTATATATATATATAATATATATATATATATATATATATATATATATATATATAATATATATATATATATATATATATATACATATATATATATATATATATATATATATATATATATATATATATATATATATATATATATATATATATATATACTAATATATATATATATTAGTATATATATATATATATATATATATATATATATATATATATACTAATATATATATATATATATATATATATAGTATATATATAT